TAAATGCAAGCAGCAGATCTAACACTATGGCAAAAATACCCTAAGGAGTTAAAGAAGGAGAAAACTGTGACAACAAATGACTAAATCTAGAGCCTTTCAAGCTGATGCTAAAAAATACAGCTGTACATTTTTCTAGTTTGTTTTTTGTTGTAAAAAACTTTTGAAGCTGTACCTGAATTCAGGCCATTTTGGACAGATTTTTACTCATTAAGGTGGAGTGAATGGCTCTAACTTGCCTTTCGCCACTTCAAACATCTGTACTAAGTTGTGGCACCAATGCAATTCCAGATGCAGTTGCTCAAAAGCAAAGAGAAATCTAAAGTGTTTTTTGCTTGTTTGTACAAAATAGCTTGGGGGATATAGAGGGGAATACTAGATTAATTATTAACAATTCTTAAAACAATTTTAAGTCACGGGAAGGCCTAACTCATGTCTTATTTCTCTTCAGATAAGCTGAGTATGGATAGATGTTGCTTTGCTCCACTACTAGTAAAATGGAACAATGTGGTTAGCTTGTTGCAGAGGTTTTTCATTCTGCTAATGTCAAGGAGCACAGTGGAAAAAATAGGACTAAAATTAAATATAAAGAATACCAAGCTAATGACCACAAATAGAACAACCAGCCTTACAACTGAGAATGAACATACTGAAGTGGTGGATAGCTTTTGGGATCAAACATCAACTATAAAGGAACAAGCAGTAAAGAAATAAACTGCAGACTAGCACTTGGTAGAGCAGCCATGAAGGCCTTGGAAAAAATATTCAGATGAGGGACTTCTGGGTGAGGCAATGGCAAGGTGAGACATCTCTGGAGGAGTGGAGACAACAATGCAGCCAAGAGGAATGGACTGCCAATACATTTGGTCCAACAGAACCTCTCGGGACAAGGAGAGGATAAGAGATTGCCCATTTGTGCTCCAGATGGCTGCTCCTCACAAGGAGACTGCAGGACAGTGGTCAACCTGCAGGTCTGAGTGCCAGGAGATGAGGGAAACCATCAAGGTCTCAACCATGGTGTAGTCTTCATGGACACTGGGTTTGTCTAACCTCACTTTCTAAACACTTTTGGCTAATTATTTTAAAGTTGAAAGAGGTCTCCCAAGCAACAAGTTTGAAAAACTACCTGGTGAGTAAAATTTCATCCCAAAATAGAGGAAAAACTAACTGCTTAAAGAATTTAAAGAATATAAAATAAATGGCAAAAAGCTAAATAAGAATTTAATTCAA